TGCCTGCAGGGGGACTGTCTGTGCTGACAGGCAGTCTCCCTGCTAGTGTAAAATCAAAAAAAAAAAAAAAAAGTTAATGGTAATAAAAAAAATAATAATAATTATATATGTGTATATATGATATATAGACATATAATATATCTATATAATATATGTCTATATATCATATATATAATGCCATACTAAGTGTATTTTTATATTAATATGGACTTATATTAATATAAAAATACACTTATAATTAAATTACACACGTATATATATAATATATATAATAACTACATATATATTATTATAAAATATAAATAATAAGTAATTTTAATTAAATACAAAAATTTTAAAATAATAAAAAAATTAAAAAAAATTATATATCTATATGAAATTTTATTCTAACTGTATTTTAAAATTAATATATATATATATTTATATCAAAATACACTTAGAATGAATTTGTATATATATCTATGTATATAAAAATAAATAAAAATAAGAAATATACATATGTCCATATACAAAATTACATAAATAATTATATAAATATACACGTAGACTTCAAATATATAAATATGCATATATATTTAAATTCTACGTGCGTATTTATTTAATAGTTTTACATAATTCAGTAATTTTATTGATTGCAATTTAAGGGACCTGCCTGCCAACCCATGCCGAAATTCCAGATAATTGAATTTGCTAGTACTGTATTTTACCCTGTAAAGTTCTACGACACCCTAAAACCTGTACATGGGGGGTACTGTTTTACTCGGGAGACTTCGCTGAACACAAATATTAGTGATTCAAAACAGTAAAACATATCACAGCGATGATATTGTCAGTGAAAGTGACTTTTTTTGCATTTTCACACACAAACAGCACTTTTTACTGATGATATAATTGTTATGATACGTTTTCCAGTTTTTAAACACTAATATTTGTGTTCAGCGATGTCTCCTGAGTAAAACAGTACCCCCCATGTACAGGTTTTATAGCATTTTTGAAAGTTACAAGGTCAAATATATGGGTCAAATATTTTTACATTGAAAATGGCCAGGTTGGTTACGCTGCCTTTGAGAGCGTATGGTAGCCCAGGAATGAGAATTACCCCCATGATGGCATACCATTTGCAAAAGAAGACAACCCAAGGTATTGCAAATGGGGTATGTCCAGTCTTTTTTAGTAACCACTTGGTCACAAACACTGGCCAAAATTAGCGTTCAATTTAGTTTTTTTTTACTTTTTTCACACACAAACAAATATGAATGCTTACTTTGGCCAGTGTTTTCGACTAAGTGGCTACTAAAAAAGACTGGACATACCCCATATTGAATACCCTGGGTTGTCTACTTAAAATAAAAAAATATGTACATGTGGGGTGTTATTCAGAGATTTATGACAGATAATAGTGTTACAATGTCACTATTGATAAATTTAAAAAATTTATGTTTTGAAACCGCAATATTCTACTTGTACCTATAGCCCTATAATATGCAAAAAAAAGCAAAAAAGCATGTAAACACGGGGTATTTTTAAACTCAGGACAAAATTTTGAATCTATTTAGCAGTTTTTTTAATTCGCTTTTGTAGATGAGTAAAAGATTTTTCAAGTAAAAGTCAAAAAACATGTATTTTTTCAATTTTTCATCATATTTTTTAATTTTTTTAAAATTAAAATACATGAGATTATATAAATAATGGTATGTAAAGAAAGCCCCTTTTGTCCTGAAAAACAATATATAATTTGTATGGGAACAGTAAATGAGAGAGCGGAAAATTCCAGCCAAACACAAACACCACAAAAGTGTAAAAATATGCCTGGTCGCAAATGTACAACATCGCAAAAACAGTCCAGTCCTTAAGGGGTTAAAGATTAAACAAAAATAAAATACAAACCACTCTCCACAGTATACAAACCACTCTCCACAGTATACAAACCACTCCAAGTAACTCCTGGTTTTCTAACTCCTACTTGAAAGAGTCTACTTAATAGAGTCTGCTTTCAAGTAATGTGAGCAAGCTCAGTGAGTTAGGGGTGTGCCTTTATGGGGATACAAATCCTACTTAATAGAGGTTGCTTTCAAGTAATGTGAGCAAGCTCAGTGAGTTAGGGGTGTGCCTTTATAGGGATACAAATCCCACACAGGTGCAATTAATGAACACTCCCCCAATCAATCAGGCAGCAGCACAAAAAAAGGGGGAAAACCAGAACACAGAAAAAAAAAAAAAAAAAGTAAATTTTAAAAACAAAAATTTTTTTAAACCTTACAAACTTTAAAGATTAAACAACAAAAATAAAATACAAACCACTCTCCACAGTATACAAACCACTCTCCACAGTATACAAACCACTCCAAGTAACTCATGGTTTTCTAACTCCTACTTGAAAGAGTCTACTTAAGAGTCTGCTTTCAAGTAATTTTGTATTTGAAGACACAATAATTGCAATTCCCCTTATTTTACCATTGTGATATGATGAATGAAATATCAACGAGAATATATATATATATATATATATATATATATATATATATATATATATATATATATATATATATATATATATATATATATATATATATATATATAAATCTATGTGACTGGTTGGGAAATGAGAAAGTATTAACTGGATTCTGACCGTACATAATGAACATGAAAGTGAATTTTTGTATGTACAAGACAATTCTGTGTGTGTGTGTGTGTGTGTATATATATATATATATATATATATATATATATACACACACACACACACAGAATTGTCTTGTACATACAAAAATGGGCACACACACACACACACACACATATATATATACACACACACATATATTATATACACACAAATTAAACTTTTTATGTGTGTGTGCATATATATGTGTGTGTGTGTGTGTGTGTGTATATATGTGTATATATATATATATATATATATATATATATATATATATAAAACACAAAACACAAAACACAAGATCCAGCGCACTCACCTATCCACTAAACGGCAACTTCAATGTTGAAAGATTTTATTCGTTTTTTTAAAAACACCTAATCTAGGCAAAAATAATGGGGGTTTAGTTACATTATATGATCATACATTGCATAAGCCTGCCACAACGTCAATGTACCCCATCTTTGGCAGGTCCTACACTAACAGCCTAATGTCTGCTCTTATGAGATTAACCACTTACTTGAGGAAAAAAAAATTCCATCTGGGGCTCTCTGCAGTACAAGGCTAAATAGGGCCCTGGGATGAGGCACCTGTGACAGGGAGGGGTTTTTTATGTGTGTGTGCATATATATGTGTGTGTGTGTGTGTGTGTATGTGTATCTATATATATATATATATATAGATACACACACAAATTTTTTATGTGTGTGTTTGTGCATGCGTGTGTGTGTGTGTGTGTGTGTATCTATATATATATATATATATATATATATAGATACACACACACACACACACACATGCACAAACACACACATAAAAAATTTAATATGTGTGTATATAATGTGGGTGTGTGTGTGTGTATATATATATATATATAGCCCATATATATAGCCCATTGTACAGCGATATGGAATCTGATGTCGCTATATAAATAAAAATAATAATACATATATATATATATATATATATATATATATATATATAGAACAAAAATAAATAATAGCACTCCCAGGACTTAATAGATATACAGGGAGTGCAGAATTATTAGGCAAGTTGTATTTTTGAGGATTAATTTTATTATTGAACAACAACCATGTTCTCAATGAACCCAAAAAACTCATTAATATCAAAGCTGAATATTTTTGGAAGTAGTTTTTAGTTTGTTTTAGTTTTAGCTATGTTAGGGGGATATCTGTGTGTGCAGGTGACTATTACTGTGCATAATTATTAGGCAACTTAACAAAAACAAATATATACCCATTTCAATTATTTATTATTACCAGTGAAACCAATATAACATCTCAACATTCACAAATATACATTTCTGACATTCAAAAACAAAACAAAAACAAATCAGTGACCAATATAGCCACCTTTCTTTGCAAGGACACTCAAAAGCCTGCCATCCATGGATTCTGTCAGTGTTTTGATCTGTTCACCATCAACATTGCGTGCAGCAGCAACCACAGCCTCCCAGACACTGTTCAGAGAGGTGTACTGTTTTCCTCCTTGTAAATCTCACATTTGATGATGGACCACAGGTTCTCAATGGGGTTCAGATCAGGTGAACAAGGAGGCCATGTCATTAGATTTTCTTCTTTTATACCCTTTCTTGCCAGCCACGCTGTGGAGTACTTGGACGCGTGTGATGGAGCATTGTCCTGCATGAAAATCATGTTTTTCTTGAAGGATGCAGACTTCTTCCTGTACCACTGCTTGAAGAAGGTGTCTTTCAGGAACTGGCAGTAGGACTGGGAGTTGAGCTTGACTCCATCCTCAACCCGAAAAGGCCCCACAAGCTCATCTTTGATGATACCAGCCCAAACCAGTACTCCACCTCCACCTTGCTGGCGCCTGAGTCGGACTGGAGCTCTCTGCCCTTTACCAATCCAGCCACGGGCCCATCCATCTGGCCCATCAAGACTCACTCTCATTTCATCAGTCCATAAAACCTTAGAAAAATCAGTCTTGAGATATTTCTTGGCCCAGTCTTGACGTTTCAGCTTGTGTGTCTTGTTCAGTGGTGGTCGTCTTTCAGCCTTTCTTACCTTGGCCATGTCTCTGAGTATTGCACACCTTGTGCTTTTGGGCACTCCAGTGATGTTGCAGCTCTGAAATATGGCCAAACTGGTGGCAAGTGGCATCGTGGCAGCTGCACGCTTGACTTTTCTCAGTTCATGGGCAGTTATTTTGCGCCTTGGTTTTTCCACACGCTTCTTGCGACCCTGTTGACTATTTTGAATGAAACGCTTGATTGTTCGATGATCACGCTTCAGAAGCTTTGCAATTTTAAGAGTGCTGCATCCCTCTGCAAGATATCTCACTATTTTTGACTTTTCTGAGCCTGTCAAGTCCTTCTTTGACCCATTTTGCCAAAGGAAAGGAAGTTGCCTAATAATTATGCACACCTGATATAGGGTGTTGATGTCATTAGACCACACCCCTTCTCATTACAGAGATGCACATCACCTAATATGCTTAATTGGTAGTAGGCTTCGAGCCTATACAGCTTGGAGTAAGACAACATGCATAAAGAGGATGATGTGGTCAAAATACTCATTTGCCTAATAATTCTGCACTCCCTGTAGTGTAAAAATATACTTAGCTTTTATTCAATGACAGCCACATGAAAAATCAACGTTTCAGTTCCTATATATATATATATAACAAAAATCACTGTATAAGGAGCATTCACAGGTCTTCATCCAAAATCTAATTTATTCCTTAGTGCAAGTTACATGTGCAAATCTTTTTAAGCAATCAACGTTTTGACCCTCTCAGGGTCTTCAAGATAAAATATAAATTGGAAAAAATTTTTTTATAAAAAAACAAGTAAAACAATAAAACCACTAACTTTGGCCAGCGTTTGTGACTAAGTGGCTACTACAAAAGACTGGAAATACCCAATTTGAAATACCCTGGGTTATCTACATTTGAAAATGGTATGCCATGATGGGGTTATTTTACATTCCTGGGCTACCATATGGTCTCAAAAGGCAACACAGACCCAGCAAATCAATCTGGCAAACTGAATTGGGAAAGCCCTATATTGACCCCATAACTTTACAAAACACCATAAAACCTGTACAAGGGGGGTATTGTTATACTCAGGAGACTTCGTGGAACACAAATATGAGTGTTTAACAGTAAAACATATCACAACGATTTAATCACCAGTAAAAGTGCAGTTATTGTGTAAAAAAAAAAAAAAGGGAAAAAACAAATAAATACACTAACTTTTGCCAGCGTTTATGACTAAGTGGCTACTACAAAAGACTGGAAATACCCCACTTGGAATACCCTGTGTCTTCTTTTACAAATGGTATGCCATGATAGGGTTAATTTTCATTCCTGGGCTGCTATATGGTCTCAAAAGCAACATAGACCAAGCTAACCAATCTGGCAAATTTCAATGTGCAAACATGGAAAAGGGGAAAGCCCTACATTTGACCCCTGTACGTTTACAAAAACCCATAAAACCTGTACATTGGGGCCACTGTTGTACTCTGGAGATGTTGCTGAACACATATTGGGGTGTTCTTTGTCAGTAACACATAACAGGAACTGAGAATCCATGCCTAAAGTACAATGTGAGAAAAAAAAAAGGATTTGGGGGTGTTTTTGGCATTAATCCTTAAAGTTCTCCGTACATGTATTCTTAAATTGCTATGTGTCTCAAAAGAAAATCCCCAATTATTATTTTTTTTTTAAATTTGGCATAGATTGGTGGTAAAATGGTTGCATGAAAAGAGTCAAAATACCCCAAGTTTAATACCTTAGGTTCTTTTAAAAAATATATACATGTGAAGGGTTATTCAGGGATTCCTGACAGATATCAGCGTTACAATGTAACTTGCTTTAATTTTGAAAACAAAGTGTTAGGAAAGTGCTACTTGTACTTATAGCCCTATAACTTTCCAACAAAAAACTAAGAACATGTTAACATTGGGCAAAACTTGGGGTATTTTAAGAACATCTTAACATCAGGACAAAACTTAGAAACAATTTAGCATGGGTGTTTTTTGGAGGTTGTAGATGTGTAACAGATTTTGGGGGTCAAAATTAGAAAAAGTGTGTTTTATAGTAAATTATATGATATGATGAAAATAATGGTATCTTTAGAAAGACCGTTTAATTGCGTGAAAAACGGTATATAATATGTGTGGATGCAGTAAAAGAGCAAGAGGAAAATTACAGCTAAACACAAACATCGCAGAAATATAAAAAGAGCCCTGGTTCCAAACGGTAAATTAAAAAACAGCCTGGTTACTAAGGGGTTAACTAATTAGATATTTTTCCAACTAAAGGGTAATAGCTTCTTAAGCCAAGGATAAATATGACTGCCATTCTGGTGTCAAGAGGGATTTTTTTTTTCTAGTTTGTTGCGAAATTGGAAGTAATTCAAACTGGGGTTTTTGCCTTGTTGTGGATCAACAGCAAAAAACAAATGTGAGGAAGGCTGAACTTGATGGACACATGTCTCTTTTCAGCCTATGTAACTATGTTACCTTGACCAAAATAGTGTTTATTCAGATCTTCTACAAATATATTAGGGATGTGCATGGGCAAAATATTCGGTCGGCATTCCGAAATTAGGGACTTCGGCGGTTCGGTGTCAGGATTACTGTTTGATCCAGCACGTAGAACTGTACAGCACAGATGACAAATAAGTAACGTATTACCGGTCCTTAGAATGGCCGGATTTAACGTACAAAGAATAGTCAAAAATACTAGCCGAGGTCAGGGAACACAGAAAGGGACACAGCGATGAGGAAAGCCAGGAGTCAGGATACCAGAATATAGAGAAGTCAATAAACAAAGCCAAAGTCAAAAACCAAGTAGAAAACTATAAACAGGAACGCGCTCTCAGACAACCACAAGGGAAACCACGACAGGGCACTGAGCAGGCTGAGAACTGGGCCTAAATACCCCTCCTTTAGTTCTGATAGGCTGTAACCGGCCTTTGACCCCAAAAGTCAGTTACCAGGTTTCATTTATATAATTGCTGCTCAGCATTAACCCTTCTGTGGATTAGGTTGCTGCTCGGCACAACTTTTCCTGTGTGGACAGTAAATGTCATTAATCACTTTTCTCTAAGCGGATGAATACATGACACCAGGTTTCATTTGCACAATTACTTCTCAGCATTAACCCTTCTGTGGATTAGGTTGCTGCTCGGCACAACTTTTCCTGTGTGGACAGTAAATGTCATTAACCACATTTCTATAAGCGGATGAATATGTGACATTACCCCCCACCTGAAGAACGCCCACCGGGCGGACAGGACCAGGCTTGAGAGGAAATTTAGCGTGAAAAGCGCGGATCTTACGGCCCGCATGCAGGTCAGGAGCCGAAACCCAAGAACGATCAGCAGGACCGTAACCTTTCCAAACAACCAAGTACTGTAAAGTGCCCCGAGAAAACCTAGAATCCACGATAGAAGATACCTCATACTCTTCCTGACCACCCACCACCACCGGAGGGGAGGAACACAAGGAACAGTATATCTATTGCAGACAAGAGGTTTGAGTAAGGACACATGAAAAGTGTTGGGAATCCCTAAAGATGCAGGAAGAGCCAGAGAGTAAGACACTGGTTTGATCCTACGAAGCACTCTATAGGGACCAAGGAATCTGGGGGCAAACTTCATGCTAGGGACCTTAAGCTTGATGTTGCGAGATGACAACCAAACCCGGTCCCCCACTTGGTACACCGGGTTGGCACTCCTACGCTTATCAGCAAAATGTTTGAAGCGTTCAGCAGCAGCCCCTAGAGCAGTTTGAACCTTAACCCAGGTATCCCGAATGGAG